GTCTTGCGTAGTCGCCTCTTTCACACGAATGTCACCACCCGACTTATCCTATGGATTAGTGCGTTCCTCAGCGGTAGAGAATTTTATGTAGACATCAATGAGGAAAGATCTGAGTGGCGTAAACAATCTCAAGGCCTGCCCCAAGGGGCAGTGTTAGCGCCGGTGCTCTGGGCAATATTCGTAAACCCCCTTTTACAACTCTTGGACAGACTCTGCACTGCACCAAACCCGGCACTAACGGGCTTCGCTGCATACGCAGATGATGTTGTCCTTTGGGCTTCCGGATCATCTCAATTCGAAGTAGATTGCAAACTCCAGCTAGTCTTAAATCGGGTCCAGTCTTGGGTAGAGTCGGTTGGAATGGAGTTAGCAGAAGATAAGACTCGTCTTATCTACTTCACAAAAACTAAGCGTAGAAAGATTCGACCTAACCAAATCCTACTGAAAGGCTTTCATCTTCAACCAGTAGATCAAATCACCATACTAGGGGTTATCTTCGACTCTACCTTATCTTGGGGCCCACAAATTGAGAAGATCCGGAAAAACGTGAAACATCGGGCAAAAACCATCTCTCTACTACTTCAAACCCCTACTAAGATTCACAAAAAACTTTACAGGCAATATATACAATACAACTTCACAATGGGTAGCTCAGCATGGGCCTTTGGGGTGACGCAAGAGCGGTGGAAGTTAGTGAAGCTGAACTACCCGCTATAGAGAAGGCTTTCTTTTTCGTGGGATGGCTATCTCCCAAGAATATCTGTATTTGGGACCGTTTCGCTAGCCTACGACAATCGATCTCGATCTCATCGTCGGCCAATCGGACTCCAACGCCAAGTAGACTTACCTCCTCTAGCACCGGGATGTTCATCCGAAGATTAGCACATACCGAATCGAAGAGTGCTCGATCCTTAGGCTGAATAATGGCTCCCACTTTTGCTAACTGGCTCGCAAAGCCAAACAATAGCATACAGTAGATGGTCAGGGCGAAGAGGTGCAGGATGGTCAACACGTCAGAGCCATGTGCTGTCCAATCGTCCATGTAGAGATGACTAGAGAAGGCTTTCTGTACCCACTTCAAATTTGCGAAGCTGCGACCCGCCTTATCTACTATCT